TTGGTGTAAATCCAAAGCAAGTCCATAAGGCCACCAATCTCTAGTTGTTCAGTCGCTGTATATTGTAATTTGTACTACACTGAGCAACATTACTAGTATTATAATAAACATAAAGAGGAGAGGTGAAGAAATCAGTGAAAGCAAAACATGGGGGGGAAAGTTGGTTCAAATTCTACTGCCAAATTAAAAAGTACAGTTACAAACAGGGATAAAACTATGATCCTCTCCACCCATTTCAGAATTGGGCAGCAGAAGTGAACAGCATGGGTAAAAACTGAAGAGAGGAACAGAGATGGATGAAAATCTAGGTGGAAGAACAGCAACAGAATAGAAACTGTTGATCAAGCTAACCCTGTGAAGTTGCTAATACAGAGGATTAACTGAAGACCAGTAGCCTCAGTGAGGCTGTGACCATCACATACAATGGTGACCTCAGCACAGCCAACCAAACACAGAATTTTGCCACCAGTGGTGAAAAAAAACACAAGGGACAGAAGAGGAGGAACATCTTAGGAGTTAGTAAACTGACAGTACCTCTAGTACACCAGTTATTTTCCAACTGCCTCGTTAGCCTTTTGCTAACATGAATGATCCTTAGAAGTGAGAAGAACATCTCAAAGCATATCAGTGTGCAGACTAAAATATACGATGCCTGGGGGAACAAAAACTGGAGATGGGTCCACTTATCTGAAAGTCAAATCAGGATTGATTTAGAATTGTGTTGTTTGAACGGTAGAGTTTAAAATGCCTATAAGTGAATCCCTTCACTGCTTTTCCCTTGTTCTCTCTCTGCTGTGGTATATCCACAGTCACTGCAAATTTGCCATAGTCATGTTAAAAAAAAAAAAAAGGACTGAAACTAAGGAAGAAGAGCATATGTGGCTAACAGCAGCTGTGCATAGCAGCTTCTAAAACATGGTAAGAAGCAGTCTCTTTAGATGACTAACCTAGAAAGCCAAGGAGCTCCCCTAGAAATCCAGAGAGCCACAACCTGGAGACAGCAATGAAAGAATCAAACTAATAGTGAAAAATGCAGCATTCCCCACAAAACTTTCCATAAGTTAGTACATTAACATACAGTTAAACATATTTGAAATATATAAATATCAGATTACCACTTGAGCATAATTCCCTTTAGAGCAAATTTGATTTTATATTTTTCCATATTTTTAAAGGAAACCAGATTCAGCAAAATATTCCAAATGTTCCCACAACATCTGACCTGTCATTCTTTTCTTTCCCACACAAAGAACACTATTTTCAGTTTCATTAAGGAATGGAACAGTTTTTTTCCCACTTTTCTGGCCAACTATCATTTCTGTTGTGACAGTCAAAAGCATTTGAACGGCCCCTTCTTTAGCCCGACATCTCTGTTCAAATATGGATTCAGTTACATCTGTAACTGTGGTAACATCTGTTGTAACTCTAACTGTTGGAACATCTGTTGGATGATCTTAAATTACCTAGCAGCCTGTAGGCACTGCAAAGGAAACATTTCTGCAAACCCAGTGCAGCCCATGGAGTTAAACGACTGCACTGCCCCACCGATTAATCTACTGTAAGTGATACTCCGAACAGACTAATCTCATTGCCCACTAGCATGATCAGCCAGTCATGTACTAGTCCACTAACTGTTTAGGAGACAGAGGTTGTCATCCCAGTAGGGTTGCAAGGGTTATAAATTATGAAGTGTTGTCTGACCTCTCACAGAGCTATGAAACCCCTCTGATAAGAAACAGAGCAGCAGTATAAAAAATTTTCTCCAAGGACAACCATTACAACTGCGTTATGTATTCTTACTACCCTGCAGAGGCTCGGGTTCTAGATGTGAATCAGCACTACACCATGCTGCAGGTAGCATGTGTGGAGCAGTGGTGGCATCCCCAGTTCACAGAGGGTACTGCTGAAGCAGAAGAGAATAGACAGAACATGGATACAGACAGAGGGGACACACATAGGAGAAATGAAGCAGTACTAGCATGAAAAGCCACAGGCAGAGGAGCAGCTGCCTAACCAGGGCCAAATTTCCATAGACATGGCAACAAAAAGTGATAAGGAAGAATCTGAACAATGGTCATGACATGGATTTGGGAAGGATTACGTGTGAGGACAAGACTGGGAGAAAAAGCATGAAAGTGCTCAAGTGAAAGTCTGCCAAGCATTAGTGGGGGTTGGTGTCATAGGCTGGCCAGAGGTGGAAGCTGCTCTCTCAGTAATAAAGGAAATGTAGCTTGGGCATGTATGGGAATCAAAATTTCCACCTTCTGGGAAAGATCATATTTTTGACTGTATTTTGGTTCTGAATTAGAATAATATTGGTATAAAGGGACTGCCCATGCAATTGCTACTCGCCAAAGAATCTGATTTGGAATTGCTGTGAAAGGACTTTTCAGAAAAGGAACACCCACATCAAGCAATCAGGTTGTCTTAAGTACTGGGTTTGGAGGTACTGGCACAGATGGCACAGACAGGTGTCAAGCTCTTCATCCCTCTTTCTGGTTTTACACAGTTTCACTATGCGTAAATAATGAATCACAATGCAGAACCTAATCATTATGTACAGCCTAATGATTCAGGTGTCCCACCTGCAAGCTGAGCATTTGGAAGATCAGGCTTAGGTCATCATTATGCTCTGTCCCATTGAAAAAGGGAAAAAAAAAAGGATTTTGACTTAACAGTTAGCATAAAAAAACCCCCCAAAATAAAAACAACAACAAAAAAACCAAACAAAAACCCCTTAATCCACACATAAAACCAAACTCTGAAAAATGTCAGATCTGATCTGGACAAGACTAAATAAATCAAGAAGTGGGTTAACTGCTGATACAGTTGCTTAACTGGGAAAAACATCTATTTGCAAATCCCCAAACTAAGGTGTAACCTGCTAATAGCAATAACCTAACAGCGCTTCACAAATATGAGACTGATAGCTGACATGGGAAGGGCACGCTGTAGAAAACAATTATTTGAAGAGCACTGAAGCACATCCAGGTAAATTCCTCAGCACTGACTAACTACAACTATCCAACAACAAAAGGACTTAAAAAAAAAAAGGCTGTGACATGTTAAGTACTGGGATTAAATGTGTTCATGTAATTACTGGCAAAAATGTTTTTTATAAACACCTTCAGCTCTTTCATCAGACAGCAAATGCTAATTTGCTCTGCAGACAAGATCAACAGCACCAGCTCTCCCTCCTCCATCATGAGGTATTCACAGAACCACAGAATGGTTGAGGTTGAAAGGGACCACTGGAGATCATCTAGTCCAACTTTCCTCCTTGATCAGGGTCCCCTAGGAAAGCATGTTATTCAGGATTGTGTCCAGATGGCTTTTGAGTATCTCCAGAGAAGAAGACTCCACAGCCTCTCTGCACAACCTGCATTCTCACATTATGCAATAGTTGGACAAGCAAACACCTGAGGGGAGAAATACAGTAATGCTGAAGGCAAGAATACCTTCAGGGTTGCTGGCAGCTCTGTCCTGGATGGGAATTTGTGTTGTAGAAAAAACCAAATGAACTCAAACCAAACAAACATCACCCCCTCCCTCTCCCTCCTCCCCTCCCCAAAAAACAAACAAACCAAACACCAAAAACCAAAATCAAACAAACAAACCATCAAAAAAACCCAAAACCAAACCACCAGAAGGGGTTGAAATATTTTCCTTTTTTCTTAGGCTGAAGACGTTTTCTGTAGATTGGCATTTCACACCAGCAGCATGCACCCACTGACAAAACAACTAATGCAGTCGGCAGCTCTATAATCTGAGAATACAAGGGAAGAACCCAGGCTCCGGTGAAGCCAAGGGCAATACTGTCACAGAGCCAAGATTTCTACCCTGACTCCTGTGGACTTAAAAGACAAGGTAACAAGTAAATTTTTCCTTGGGTGCTCTCTTAATCTGCAGATCTAAATTAACACGAGCGTCTCTGGTGTTTACTGAGCTTGTGTTATTAGCTGTTTACTTTGCACAAAGCCTGTGCTTAACCAGCTATAAACCAATTCTGCTGACTTACATCACCTACATTTGTCAACCGCTGTCATCTGCCATTCATATAACCACTACCACATTCCCACGGAGGCTCAGGAGTGCTCACGCAAAGACACTTTTACATTAAGAAAAGTCAGTCACCTAAGTCAAAGGAAATGCACAGCCTGGGGAAGAACTGACAGCTTCAAAGATCTCTTTTATT